GTTACAGGCATCGCTTTCACAGATTTACCGGTAAGATGAGTGCATTTTCAAACAGCTTTCCTTCTGTGTTCTTCCATATTTACTGTATAATTCTTGGAAATAGAATTTTAATCTTCTTAAGCAACTTAGTACCGGCTATTTCTCCTCGTCGTTTCAGTGACAATTTGTTAATCGAAGCAAAAAAGTTTTTGTTTTTACACTGATCCTCACAGGGCTTTTTCTTTTTCAGGTTTTTAACAGGCACTGCTAACAGAGATTTAGCAGAAAATCTGACATAGGTGCAGCTGTTACATACTTTGACACACGCAGGCCTTACGTACCAAGTCACTGCTGTATTAAACACCAACACGGTGCACCTGTGTCGTATGCAGGAAGGCTGCTTGTAACAGTCACCAGAACCCAAACCTGATGCCTAATTTTCAAAATCTTTCCTTCCATAGGATGGAACATATCAAAATAAATTATTTTTTTTCGTTAGAGAAAGCTACTGATAACTGACATTTTCTAGCTTTCCAGTCAATTAAATTGTACTTAAAATTGTTATAAATGTGTTCCCTGTGCTACTGGCACTTACTTTGTTGTGGTGGGTTTTTCCTTTTTTTCATTTCCTTTTCCTCATCCGCTTCAGTTGTGATTTAATCTGGTTCGGATGCGGAGCGTGCTGCGCTCCCAGCTGGCCTTAGGAGTGGTGGCCTTAGGAGGCGAGGAGAGATAATAAGGAAAAAGGCAGCCGGTAACCCAGGGCACCTCTCACGTAGGACTCCAGTGCCCCAGTCCTGGCTCTGCGGGGTGCTGGGGTGCAGCCGTGCTCCTCGCTAGCACGGGACAGCTGGCGCTGGCATCGAAGCTTGAAGCTTGTTAGAACCGATCGTTTTAATCTCATTAAAAGATCTGAGACTTGTGCTTTGTCGATTAGTTTAGACTAGGTAACACTGCGAGCAAATTTTATCTATTGAAAAAAAGAAATTAAAAAAAGTGGTGGTCGGGGTGTGGAAATGGAGGCAAGATCGGCTTGAGCGTGGTTTTAACAACCGGAATGTTTTTCTTCCATTTTTTCTGGGCATCGGTGTTCCTACTGAGCTGCGCGTCGTACCTCCTGGTGGATAGCTTTAATTGAGTTAGTGTGCGGTTCTGGAGACGAGCATACCTTTCCATCGAACCACCTCTGATTGCAGTGTATTTATAAATTAATAACAGAGAGCAACAAAAGCCCCCTTGCCCAGCACCCCGACGGATCACATTGCCATTGCCAAGATGCTGGTTGCGTTTCAGAAAAAGTTACTTTAATCCCTACAGGCAGATTTTACTTTTCTCATCTTTGGCCTGTTTCAAATTCGTGTGGAAACCTAATCTCTAAGCAGAAAATAAAACTGAGACAACAATAAATGCTTTGAAGTCTTTTCCTAGATACAAGTCCAAGAATTCACGAGAACTTCAGTGCACTGTTACAGTTCTTCTTAGGTGCTACACTTGGACTTTGAGGCTAATGAGGTCTCTATCCTGTCAGTTCTTACTGCTAAAATTCACCGATGTTTTAAGTATTTCAGCCCAAAAGGAAAATGGCCCACTTTGTAAGTTTAATTTTTGTTCTGTTCTTAAAAGAAACTTTATTCCTGGTCTTTAAAAATCATTTACCAAAAAAAATACTTAATATTTTGTAAGATTGAACCCAGAAGTTGTAAACTTGAGCACAGTATTTTCTGGCTAGAAAGAGAATGGTCAGTAATGCTTTCTTCTTTCAAAATAAAAAACTTATGGCCACTGGGAATAAAATTAATCAATATTGCTGGATTCGTAGAAATTAACTGCTGGACCAGTGATCCAGAGGTGTTTGCTTCTTTGCGCTACTGATGGCAATGGGGATTTTATTAGAGATGAAAAAAATAAAGGAAAAAGAAGCGTGGAATTAGATTAAGAGGAAAAAACTAATTAAAAAATTTCTTGCAGCCAAACTTGTACCCTACAGTAGGGCTTCAAACACCAGGAGAGGTTGTGGATGCTAATTTTGGACAACACCCGTTTGTATTTGATATTGAAGACTATATGCGAGAGTGGAGAACCAAAATTCAAGCGCAGATTGACAGATTTCCAATAGGAGATCGGGAAGGAGAGTGGCAAACAATGATTCAGAAGTAAGGCTTTGAATACTGTTCATTTTAAAAAAATAAAGTTAATAATTGCATGATTTTGGAGGTCTTTAAAACATACCACCTTGGGCAAGAAGTTGCAGATAGTGTTAAAAACTAGTACAAATAATTTTAACATAGCAAGTTTGATAAATGTGTCTAAAATGGAGCATGAATAGATGTTTGGGGAAGAGATATATACGTCATTAATAATTAAGAGTTTATAATGATGAGTATAAAGCTCCCATTCCTGTTTGATGTATCTAATTTGGATTGGGGAGTTCAGAAAAATTGTCGTCATTGCAATGGGCAGTTTTAATACTTCAGACTCTGGAGATTTCACTTTGCCTTCTCGGCCTTCGACGTGCCGGGTTAAGTTGTGGCTTGTTAGTGTCTCACCTGGGAAATGGTGGTTGGGGCTCTACGGTTTTTATTTCTTCCTCAAAAACAAAAAAAAGAGCCTATATAATGAGCGGAAAACCCCACCTCAGTTAGCAGGTAATTGAGCCTACCTTCAGGTGATGAATCTTTTTATTAAAGTTCATCATAACAAACTGATACATTGATTTTTTTCTTTTAAATTGCTTTTCCGCACGGTGTTTTGAAGAAGATTCCAGCTCTTAACTGTATTACTTCTGTCCAGCTTTGTACAGAAATTTCTAAATTTCGAGTAGAGTTCTTTAATTCGGTCTCTTTTTTTTTTTTTTTTTTCAAAAAAGGGTTTTTGACGTTCACGAAGTCCTTGGTTTCTTACCTGTATGTAATGAGTGTTTCCGGGTTTTGTTTTTGTTTATTTTTAGAATGGTATCATCTTACTTAGTTCACCATGGATACTGTGCAACAGCAGAGGCATTCGCCAGATCCACAGACCAGACTGTGCTAGAAGAATTAGCTTCCATTAAAAATAGACAAAGTAAGGCTGGAAAGCACGTTACATCCTTTTTTTTTATTTTCTTCTTCCTCCCTTAAACAAATATGTAAAACTTTTTCTCTTGAGCATCACTGTAGAATTTCCTTTCAGCCCTCACTCCGTAGTACAGTTCTTTGCTGGCCCCTGAAGTTCCCCACGCACAAACAGCCAGTTAAGATGAATTTCTGCTCTAAATCTGTGGAAGTTGTAACTGAACGTGGTCGATTACCTGTCGTGTTACTCTCGATCGGGAACTTGTGACCTGCCTTAAACCAAGGGGCACGATGTCTCTAAAGGAGCGGGGGTGAGAGCTGGCGGCCGGTCACAAACAGGAATAACAGGCTTAGTCCTGACAGACGTTTAGACTTTGAACAGCAAAAAGGGGCAGAGTTCCAGGGGACGCTTTACGACCTCGTGAGGCTTTTTGTGACTTGTGCTGGGTCACAGCAACAGGAGCATCGACTAAAGCCGGGGCTCCTGTGGAAAGGTTTAGGCTGCTGTGACCTGGCGGGGAGCACGTGGGGTAGGGGAGAGAGAGACGAAATTCTGGTTTTGGTTAAAACTGCCTGTGGGAGCGGGATGCGATCAGGATGTTCTTGGGTGGCGATAGTTTGGTATGTGCTTATTTATAACGGTGTGAAAAAGCGAAATAAATCACAGCAGAGCGTCTGCAATCTTAATCTGGCTCTAAAAGTACTTGTGTGCTGGCAATAAAAATATTGAGTACTCATTTAGATGTATGTAGGCGGAGTGCGGTTCTTACATTTTCCTGTTGAACATTTTAAGGAAGCATGATCTCTTTTTACCCTCTTTCTAAGAGGAAAAAGCCTTGTTGATTGATGGTTGCAGTGTCTTTTAATCGTTAATTTCCATGTGTTATTCCATACGCTGTCCATTTGCCTGATGTTGCTTTTGGTGAACAGAAATTCAGAAATTGGTTTTGGCAGGATGAATGGAGAAGCCATTGAAACAACGTAACAGCTGTATCCAAGTTTACTAGAAAAAAATCCTAATCTCTTATTTGTTTTTTGGTGAACAGGAATTCAGAAATTGGTTTTAGCAGGAAGAATGGGAGAAGCCATTGAAACAACACAACAGTTGTATCCAAGTTTACTAGAAAGAAATCCTAATCTCTTATTTGCATTAAAGTGAGTCTTCAAATTATACAGATGTGTGTTTATAGATGGCACAGTACCTTCTGAGACGAGACAGTTACTCGTTTAAAGCTTTCACAGAAATTTAAACAAAGTTAAGCAGCGTTTTTTAGAAAATGTGTGTAGTTCACTTTTTTATGCTCTATTATTTGCTACATGTTTAACTAGGTTTTGTCATCAAGGTCCTGTTTTGCAGCATAAATCATCTCACTGTAGACCTGTTCTCTAGATCTAAGCTTTGTAATTTTTTATGAATCAATTTTATTCAGTTTGGGTGTCAAGTAAAACTTAAAATACAAACCGATACACATTCATAGTCAGGAAGGTTGAGTCCTGTTGGCGTAAGTTGGTCTCTTCCTCCAAAGGGCTGACTGATTTTAAAAAAATAGAGCTTAAATGAGCTGTTATGCTCTGTGTCACTTTACTAGTAACCTCTGGTTAATACTGTGGAGATTCCATAATCCCAAAGAGTCCTCTTGGCTTCCCGGGCACACAGTAGTCACCTTCGTTCTGGCATTTGTGCTCGCCAGCTGCGCTGATCCTCCAGAATTTGGTATCACGTTGTAGTGTTTGCACAGGGGGGAAAAACGAATCTATCTCCTATAAGAACAAAGCACTTTAATTTTTATGTCAAGTAACTCGGGATGTGTTTGAAGTCTGTCACGCTCAAGTGCTGCACAGAATTCACGTGATAGGACTGCAGACTTCTCACAGAATTCGCAGAGCGCGAACGTTTTGATGAAAAGACTTCGCTCGATAACATCAACTGTATGTTATCTCTTCCTCAGTCTGCCTTGCTAAATTTTGCCTCTTCTGTTGAGGCTACCCAAGCCTAAACCATAAAGTCGTAGTTCTGAGCTTCCTTAAAGTCCATAGTAAAACCTCCTTGTCTAAAATAAAATTGACAAAGAGCAGCAGGCTCTAAGGGGAAGGTTTGTATGCGAGCTTGCTTCTCAAACTGTTCTCTAGTTAAGAGTTACTGTTCAACGCTCACCGTTCCAGGCAGTCAAACCACGTTCTCATTTAGTTCTAGAGAAATGACGTGACAATGTAAGGACATACCCTTCTCGAGAAATAACCTTGCCCCCTCCAGTAAAACAGTTAAACCAAGAAAATACAGTTTAGGGCACTAAACGTCGAGGACTTACTGACGAAGTCTGTCCTCGAAGGATAATAATATTCCTGTTCTCCCTCACAAATTTTGTCACTGTGTATTCTTGGCTGAATACTCCAAAGCTTACTGACGATTGGGTTACTGACATCCAGCGTTTTGTTGAGTCAGACTTTTTTGTATATTTTACGCTAAAATTAAATCGTTGCTATCGTTGGTGAATTGAAAGTTGTTTTATTAGCTTAACTTGTTTTGCCTTTTGTTTAGGGTGCGCCAGTTTATAGAGATGGTGAATGGTACAGACAGCGAAGTGCGGTGTTTGGGAGGCCACAGCCCAAAATCTCAAGACAGTTACCCTGTTAGCCCCCGGTCCTTCAGTAGTCCTAGCATGAGTCCCAGCCATGGAATGAATATTCACAATTTGGCAGCAGGCAAAGGGAGCAGCACGCACTTTTCTGGTAAGTTGACGTGGAGGATATACCTTGTAGATTTGGATAAACCACACCACGTAACAGTTAAGTGTCAAGAGAAATTACAAATACACGCAGAGTAACAATTTGTTTTATCTAAAAGTTGGGACCAAGTGCTTTGTGTAAAAGCATTGTTCTGACGGTTAAAGTACGTGATTCTCGGTCACTGGGGAAATGGAAAGTGCATGAATGGAATCAAACTTTCTTGCATGCGCTCTTGGTTTTATTAAGGGTTTGCAAAGTACGTTGCCACTGCTTTCTAAGGAATTCTTGCTGCCAGGAGCTGGGAAGTTCTGACACAACTTTCTGTTGTCCTCTCGAAGATAATTTATGGTGTGGACAAGGTGGTGTAAGCGATCCATTCCCTGTGGTGTTGGTGGGGTTAGCACGAACAGCTGCCCTTGGGTAGGAAATAGGAGAAGCTGGGTGGAGCGGTTGGGGAAAAGACTTTTGCTGGCAGACAAGTTTTGCTCTGCACAGCTGGAGCAGTTCTGAGTGTCTGGGCAGTGGCAAAGGTTGGGTGGGAAGTGTTCCAAGCTGCCCAGTGGAGAGCGGAGGGTGCCTGTGGAGAGGTCCCCGCGCCGACCAGAGCACCCTGCAAAGGAGCTGTTGGCTGCGTTAAAGTGATAACCTGAACGTGTTGTCTTTGAAACCAAGACTCTCAAGGTAGCGGAGACCATCAGCTTTAACTTCTGTTCATTCCTCGATCCAAACTGCAGCTGATTTAGGGGTTGCTTTTTTTTTTTTTAATTTATTTTTTTCCTCCCCTCCCAGTGGGATTGCCAGCCTGGCTGCTGGAATACCGACTGCCCTTGGAAAGGCAGCGGCTTCGCTTTGCTTCCTTCCGTGTGGAGACCGCGCTGCCCTGTGTGTGGCTGGAGGTCCACTCAGGTTTTCTGTTTGTTCTTGAAGTGGGCTGCCTGATGGAAAGTACCTCTGACTTTCAAATTCTGAATATAGAGGAACCATTTTATAAGCGAGTTGATGAATTGTATTATTAGAGTTGAAGTCAGAGGTTTCTTGAACGGCAGCGACTGTTTTGTTCATAACAAGCCCTTCCTGCAACCTGTATTGGAAGGTAGGAGGGAGCTCCTGCTTTTGGGCTCGGTAGAACTGGCAATTTCATGTTTACTTCAAATAGTAGTTTCTTAATTATATTTTAGAAGGGTCAGAAGAGATTTTCAGCCAGGCATGGTAATTTTACAACATGGTGTAATTTTATTTAGCAGAGCACAGTATTAATAATTCAAATAATTACATAGGGAAGGAGGGAGTTTGTGTTTAAGTGTAGCAACATGTAAAGTATTTTCAGCACTGGATCTTAACTGCGTATTTATGAAGACAATTACGTGATTAGGAATTAGTAAGATGCATGTCTGCTGCCATTCATAATGATTAGAGTGGCCTGGAAAAGATTTTTCAGATCTTGGAGAAATGATGTATTGGTTCTAAAAAATGATTCTAGGTTGCCGCAGTTTTCTGGTTTACTGGTGTAGAAGTATAGCCGAAAAACCTTCTCATGTGTCTGTTGCTGCTTGTTAAATAATGCTGCTGCACTGTAGAGGCCTTAAAAAGGTTCAAATACCTGAAATGCGGAGGCAAGTATTTGTGTTTATTTGTTCGGTACATCTGGCATTTCCTGACCGGGAACAACTAAGCTCTGCTTATTTCGCTTCTTAAAATTGGTGCGTACGAATAAGTTTGTAGATGATTACAATTATTAAAACTTTCTTTCAGGGTTTGAAAGTAGTTGCAGTAATGGAGTAATATCAAATAAAGCGCATCAGTCTTACTGTCACAGTAAACACATGGCCACCAGCTTGAATGTACCAGAGCTCAACAACATAAATGTATCAAGATCACAGCAGGTTAACAGCTATCCCAGGTGAATAAACTCCACATGCTTCTAACTTACATTAAGGCTTGTGTTGTCCACATGCTCGTGTTGCAGAGAAGAGTTTTCTGTGGGATTCGATGTGATTTATTTTTATTTTATTTTATTTTTTTATTTTCCAAGGACAGTTGAAACATTTTGTGGGGCCAACAGCTTGTGATCACTCTAGTGTGGTTTGGTGTTAGCTTCTCAAGCTCGATAGGCTGTTTTCTCCTCTTTGGTTAAAGAAATGCAATAGGCAAAACCAAATTTCCTTACTTAGAGCTATTTCTGGCCAGTTTTGAAGTTGTACAGTGAAGATGAACTGGCTCTCTGGCACTTGGGTTTTTAATTTAGACCACTGACACTGCTTTAAGCACGCTGCACGTAGGTAACGAAAAGGATCTGGAAGACTTTCCATTTGTGGCAGTATCTGCAAAGTAAAAGTAAACACAACTGAGACGCATATCGAATGGTACCTCCCTGCCACTGCACACACAAGAATCGTTTGCCTACTCGGCTCCCTGTCCCTGGTGCAAACACATCGATTCAGAGAATGGAAACAGCTGGATTAAGCAGAGTTCATACGGTTGCTTGTAACCAGCAAATATTAAGCTCTGGGTTGCACCGATGCAGCAGAACCTAATTCTGTGTGAAATGCAGCGGTACTCGGCTGCGTTGTCCAAAACTACCAACTAGGATGGGATGATGTGGTGGTGGTAACAGAAAGTATTTCAGTTGGATAGCGGTGATTGGGGCAGGAGGAAGTAAGAGTGACAATTTACTTTTTAACTTCATGTTTTGCATTTGTGTCAGCCAAAAAACCTGGCAGTAGTGCCCAGGCAACTTGGAGGTTTTCTTCACAGGAGGAAGAAAGCTCCTTGGCTGGAGTGTTGCCCAGGCCGAGAGGCCTTTTGGTTCCCTTCTGTAAGGAAAACAGTGGTTTTGGTTGCTTAGAAGCAAGATATTAAACTTCTAAATTGAATCTTTTTGGTCTTGAGAGAGGTTTTAGGTTGTTTCTCTCCATGGTGAAACAGAACAGGCTAGGATGTAACTCCACAAAGCTCCGTCCCCAGCGCCACGCTGGCGTTTTCTAAAAGTGCTTCTGTGCCCTGCTGCGGGCAGTGTGCTCTGGGTTTGCCTCTGAGCAGCTCTTCAGGGTCTTGGCCTGCTCAGTATCTGCTCTGGCTTGTTCTTGTTTTTTCCTGTCATTCCACTGACAGTAAATGAGTGACTGAGGCTTTTTTTTGAAATAATTATTTGCCTAAATTTGATATTCTCAAAGTAGACTCTGTACCGAGTTAACCGTGTTCTAAACCAAAATGGGAATAGTCTGTTTTCTCAATGCGTTTTCTCCAGCTCTGTGAATGTGCAGATACATAAATAAGGTAAGAACTTTTTGGTGTGTATTTAGAGAGGGTTACTACTACTTAGTCCTGAATACTGCTGGGCACATTTAAATTTTCAGCATTTGAAAGTGCTATTTTTATGGAATGCTAATGTTAGTTGAGAGCACCTTGAAATTTTCTTGGTGCTCTGGTGTCGCCCCTTGCTAAGTTAAAAAAACCTGTGCTTGAACTTAGTAACATTTAACAGCAGCTTTTCAGTAGCCAAGGTGAGGAAGTACCGTGCTGAAGTTGTGAAGAAGATAACCCCGAGTACTTAAATCTGACTAAAGCTTTTATTTACTGCTCTCTCTTTCAGCAATGATGTAGACATGGAAACAGATCACTACTCCAATGGGGTTGCTGAGACTTCATCCAATGGCTTCCTAAATGGTAGTTCTAAACATGATCACGAAATGGAAGAATGTGACACAGAAATGGGTCTGCAGTGATATTTCTTACATTTTTATTAAGTGATGACAACAAGGTTATGTTTTTACTTGCAATGCTTCCCAACTTGAAAACTAGGGATATTAGCTCAAATTTTAATTTTGATTGTTTTGCTGTTTTGACGTAAATCTTACAAAACCGCCGATTCAATGTCTGTGTGAGAACAGGGGAAATTGGTAACTCAGGGATATTGAATCCAGCCCCAGTTTCTAAAGAAATGCCTTTGAGAAGAGACATCCTGTTGTGCAGCACGCCTGGGTTAGGGTTGGCACACTGCTGCTCCCTCTTCCCCTGGATCTCACGGCATCGCTGCACTCGACAGCAAGAGCAGAAATCCCCAATCACTTACACTGAAGAACATTAAATGCTCGAGAAAAGAGCTCTATTTGGGAGGAGTTTTGGTGGTGGTGTTTTCTGGGTTTTTTTTTTAAAGTGTCTGTCTTACCTAGGTGTGATCTAAAAGATAACTTTGTTTTACTTGACCTGCTTTACACTGCCATGCCCATATAGATATTAGTGATGAGTATTTAAATGTCCTTTGCGAGCAGGCCCTGGGTGGTGCTGTTGGCTCTGTCAGTTGGGGTGCAGGCTGGCCCTGTCCCCTCGGGGCAGGCAGAGCCCTTCCACGTGCTCCTGCTGCAGCTTGGATGCTCGTGGTTATTGCGGCCAGTGCCTGGCAAAGGGGAGGAATCCTTTCTGCAGCTGCAGAACTCTCTTTTCCAACAATTGACTTGACCGGGCATTAATTAATAGTTTAATTAATTCGGGTGAAACTCGGGACACGGCTGGTGACCTGTCAGAACGCAGGAGTAGCGGCAGCCCGACACTGCACTGAGGGTGGGTGCAGCTGCTGCTGGTACATGCCAGGGAACGGCTGAAAAGCAAATATGACCGTGGCACAGCCCGGGAGAGGGGGGACTGGAATCGCCCCGTTTGTTTTTCTTGCTCTGAAACTGGATAATAACAAGGCCTCCTTTCTGTGTCAGGAAAAAAACAAAACAAAACACTTCTTTACTCTCTTGCAGCCTTTCCCACAGAGGCTTCTGTGACAGACATGAAGCAGCTGCACAGGGACAGAGTCGTTTGTGGGGGGTTTTTTGTTGGTTTTTTTTTCCAGTTAACAGAGTTGTTTTCTGCCTTTGGAAAGTGATGTCCTAGTTGGGCTGCAGCTAGCAACAAACACTGCTGCCCAAAGACTGACAGATGCTTCACCTTGTTTTTTAAAAAAAAAAAAAAAAGTGGCTCCTCAACCTGCACTGTTTCCTCCCTACAGTTTGAATTTGGTGGTGTTTTGGTTTTTGAAATATTTAAATATTCTCCTTAGTGCTTTGTATGTGATGTTAAGTAGGCAGATTTCTTTTCAGAGGCCATACCGCCACATGTAAGGGGGCGGTGGGGGAAGTGCCCACTTACAAATCCTGGTTTGAAATAGTGGTAAAAATACACCACTAGGTTAGCGATGTTAAAATCAGAAAGAATGGGTTATAAGTTTAGTGTTCATAAAAATTCTGATTCAACCTTTATTCCATTAATGCAAAAACCAAGGAATGGATGAAATGCCTTTTTTTTTTTGCCTTTTTTTTTCCCTCTTTACAGGTTGCTTTAGTTGCAAATTAAAAAAAGGCAAAACTCGGAGAAGCCAAGAGTCGATTTACTGTTCATAGGCTGCATTAGTAGCTTTAAAAAAATCACTAGAATTGTGAAATACTGTAGCACACAGCAGTGACTTGTAGTGTTCTGCTTGATGACAAAACAAGCCTGAAGTGTCCGAATTACTAAGTTAGTATCTTCTGCAAGGTGTATCAACAGTCGAAATGATTGTCTTGTAGCAGCGTCCCTTGTGGCTGTTTGGAAGTTGAGGGGTTTTTACTCTCTGTGAGCAGTTCTGGATTTGGCGTATCTTCAGAAGTGCGATGCCAAAGAACCTCACAGGTAGAACTGCACAGACTTGTTGTTTTCATTACTCATTTTAAGTTCCCATAAAAATTGAAGGTAAAATTTATAGTCTAGTTAGTTAAGAGTGAACTGTTGCAAAACTAAAGGCCTTTGCCGTTAGTTAACTAAGTCTCTTAGTGTCTACAAAGGGGCAGGTGGTGGTGATGCTGACGATATCGCTTTTGCAGAAGTAGATTCAAGTCAGTTAAGGCGTCAGCTCTGTGGCGGCAGCCAAGCGGCCATTGAAAGAATGATCCATTTTGGAAGAGAATTGCAAGCAATGAGCGAGCAGCTGAGAAGAGAATGTGGCAAGAACACAGCGAATAAGAAAATGCTCAAGGTACAGTGAATAACTGCAGACTTCCCGTGGTGTGAATGTCCCGGTGTCACCTCTGTGGTGTGCGTGCGCCTGGGCGCAGCAGTGCAGCCAGCCATGGTGTAGCGCTGTCTCCTGCCCTGTCTGCGCAGCGATCGTTCCATCCGATGGTACCATTAAACCCAGAGGTGAATGTAGCACTTCCCTCCGTCTCCTTTCTGACCACGTAGCTTGGCCTCTTGAATCAAATGGTGCTAATGATAAATGAACCGCAGGAAAGAACAGACACAGATGCTTAAAAATGTGCGCTTTGGTAATCTGTGCGCTCCTGAGTTTACCTTGACTTGAGCCCACTCTGGAAAAGAATTCCCCTGTCAAAGACTGACTGCATGCACTTGTCAGTCTGCTTTCTGTTTCCCTGTCACTGCCTAAAATACTGCTGACTCTTGTCTTTCTCTGAGGAAAATAGCGATGGCTCAAAATCATACAAGTTCTGTTACTGTTTCCTTTATCCTTTTGGTATTGGTTATGGGCACTGCCCATCACCTTGGTGATTGTGAATCCAAATGGGTGAAGAACACAGCCCTCGTTTTCTTCGCTAGCAGCAGCTGTGAGATGTAATAAAACATGGCCTTTCCACAGGACGCGTTCAGTTTACTTGCTTATTCCGATCCCTGGAGCAGCCCCGTTGGAAATCAGCTTGACCCAATACAAAGAGAACCCGTGTGCTCTGTGCTCAATAGTGCAATACTCGGTAAGTGAGGGCTGGGGGGCTTCAGGTGCAGCGGTCCCCAGCACCTTTTGTTTTGCTCCTGCTGAGTTTCACTGCAAAAAGCAGCCTTCACAAGTAAAACACACAACTGTGAAAGTAATCATTGAAGAAAGCTTAAGATTTCAGTGCATCACTGGGAAACTACTCAGGTATTTTAACTGCCACTGTGATCCTTTTCTCTCAGAGACTCACAATCTGCCAAAGCAACCACCGCTTGCCCTGGCCATGGGACAGGCGTCGCAGTGTTTAGGACTGATGGCTCGATCGGGGATCGGATCCTGCGCGTTCGCCACAGTGGAAGACTACCTCCACTAGCTATGCATTCGGAGAGCTGCAAGGTGGTGTGCCATGTTCCGCACGGAACGCAGACCAGCTCTGCTGACTGGAATTTGGAATTTTAATTATGTACTAAGGACAAGTCTGTCGCTTTATGTTGCTTCCTAGTTTACAGCATGATGCAAATGATTTCTAACTTAGTGTTAGGAGAGAATTTCCATCTTGAAACCTCTTAGACAACTAAGAGACGAAAGTGTCACTGATAATGTCAGACATCTGAATTGACAAGTACCAATCCTTTAAACGATTGTCCGAAACAAACCAAAAATCCTGCTGCCTTGTGGTGGGACGGGAGAGCAGAACTAACCATGGATGTATCAGCATGCGGGTGATGTAAATGTCAAGCAGGATGACTTTGCCAACCTCCACCCCCATTGTTACATAGTTCAATCAGTGTAATTTGCAAAATGCATCATAAACACCTGATGGTTTGGATATATAGTGTTGATGGGAAGAAATGATATTTTTTAATGTGTACTGTAAAACTTGAATTACTCAGGAGCTGAGTGAATCTGTTTGTTGCTACTTACAATCCCAACCTGTTGATCTTAGTAGTTTTTTTGTTTTAACATGGTCTTTTCAACTTTGTTTCCTTGTTTAACTACAGACAGCTTCTGTTGTGTAGACTCACCAGTTTAACTGTTGTATTATAACAGTATTACATGTCAACACAGTGTGGTTATGACCTATTTATATAAAAACCAAATATTTAGTCAATTTACAGTCTTAATTTAATCTTTGTACACCTTGCATTTTTAAAAGTGCTTAAATAGTACTATATTGCAATAAAATGTAGTGATATCATAATTAACCAGCCATTAAAAACTTACTTCTACAGACATGGTAGCATGGCCTCGTATGCTACGTTTTCTTGGTTCCACCCTAGCACAGCCCTTCTCCTGCAGGCCCGTGAATTCACACCAACAGCTCCAACTGAGAGGTGCAGGGGCTGGGCTGGGCTGGCAGCAGTTACAGCTTTACTGTGTTCCTGCCACTGAGCAAGTTCTGCTCACAGGGCAAGTCAAGGCCCTGACAGAAGCTTAGTCAGTACTCCCTGGAAAATGGGAGCGGGGGGAAAAAAAGCCAAACAGCAACCCACCCCTTATTCCTTGAAGGTAATCAGGCTAGACAGACGTGTCCTGCTGTGGCAGCTGGTGTTAGGGACACTGCCTTTCTTTAGAGATGCAAGTAACTGGAAAAGCAGGAAGAATCGATGGCTGCAAGAAGTGCCTCACTCATATCGGTAAATGTAACATGGTTCATCTTTATTCTCGGTGCCTGTGAGCCTGGTGGTGACACCAGCTGTCCCACAGCAGTAGGAAGGAGCTGCAGTCCCTGCTCTGGCCCAGCTATTTCTTGGCTTCCTCAGCCACTTCTGAAAGGGGAGGAGAGGAGACCAGGGAAGTCACTTCGGGCACAGCTTTGACTGTTCGTGCCTTCCGGTGGCAATGGTAGAGAAGTAGGGGAAGAAGAGCCACCTTTGTTGTGTTGAGAGACAAACTGGCAGCAGAAGTCCGTAACAGCATCTTCTGAAAAAAAATGCCATCTTCATGCCAGCTTTTTGATCTGTGTCGCCAGCCAACGCTTTTTAAACCTTGCTGCTCTTTGCTTTTTTTCTTGCCCTTAAAAAAAGCACAACAAACACAAAATGCCGTTTGTTACCATGTTCTTAGCCCGTGCGCTGGCAAAGCAGCACTCCATTGCTTACTGCAGCATTTCAGCCACAACAGCCCTTCCCATCTCGTTTGCCACAGTTCCACGCCCAGGGGGCTGCCAACTCCCAGTGCTCTCCAGCAGGAGGGATGAGGGGAGTGCAGCAGCTCTCTGCTTTCTGAAGTACAGACTCTGCCTATGAAGGAGCAGTTACCGTCACCTCTCCTGTCCCTGAACGTGGGGCTGTCCCCCTTTCTGTCGGTTTTGAGGAGGAGAAATGAGGGCCATTTCCCTGTGCTCACACACAAGTTCTGGGGTCATGACATCCCTGCTTTAAGCTTTACACACATCAGAAATAACTTCCAACAGCTCAGAGGATTTAGGCTGACCAACAATTAGCACTTCTTCCAACAAATAAACATGGCTCTACGCCCATATGTTGTTTCTCAGTGTACTAAAAAAAGCAGGTTATTTTTTTTCAAGTTCTGTCTAACACACCTTCCCCAGTGGAGTGCTCACAACATCCACTCCAGCTGTAGTACCCTGCTGCCCTTCCCTGCTTCTGTGGTTCTTTGAGAAAGAAAACAGCCTTATTTTATTTAAAATTGTACTTTAAACCATACATGCAGAAAATAGTACTTAAGACTTTTTATACTCACCCCAAGATTTGTCCACAAACTGAACTGCAGCTTTTTTAACAGGGTTTTTCTTGTTTTGAAGAGAAAAAAATTCATTTGCTGCAATGGAGACGAGTGTTAATTACCAAGTTTAACCCAGACAAATGTAGGTGCAGACGTGCCCAAGCAACGTGCTTACGCTGTGCCCGGTTGGTGTTTGGTCCATAGAGCTGAGTGTTTACAAAGTCTTTGGCAAGCTCCAGGTGGAGGCCTGTTACACTCTGATCTTTTAAGCAGACAGCTGTGTATTTTCCCTGGGACCTAGTTAAATAAAGAGAGAGAAAATGCCGTAGTGTAGTTACAGAATACCCAAGAAAAAGACACCAGTCAGTGCTTTGCCACTCGAGCACAACAGTGGCCGGTGCTGGTTCCCGGTGGTCAGCCGAGCTCTGCAGCAGTATTTAGAAAAATCAACCAAAAACTCAACAATTGGAGCAAGACTCTCAACTTATCATCAAGTGCCCTTACATGTCTTGAGTAGTTCCCTGGGGGTCTTGAACTAGTCCTACCAGAAGCAACTGTAATTTCTCTATAGGGACATCGGTGACACAAAAACAAATGGAAAAGACTGAAATACTGGAATTCAGTGCTTGACCGCCAGGCCCTGTAGCTGCACGTAACCAAACGTCTGCTCTTGTGCTTGCGACTGCCCAGTTGTACCACAGCAGTTAGATATACAAAATAGATTAAAAAGTTATCTTACACAGTTATATACCTGTGTGTCTACATATTTTACTAGTATGCTGCAAAAAGAAGCACCCTAAACGTGCACTTAGCACTCAAGTACGCTTTCAAGGAGAGAAAGAGCAGGGGAGACATGAAGCAAAGATGAGAGCGCAGCCACAGGATGAGAGCCGCTGCTGTGATACCCCCTCCCCAAGGAGGCAGGAGCCTCCTGTTCCTAGCGTACCTGACACCCTTTTTTGGCTTGTCTTTCTTCACCCCCCTTTTTGCTTGGCCTTGCTTTTGAACTTGGACTTGTCTCTGCTTCGCAGCTCCACCTCCACGACGTTTACCTGAAGCAAATTTAAGAGCAAACGGAAAAATAAATAAATAAATCAAGAGTTGTTAAGTGAAAGCAGAACAGGACCGAAACATTTAGGCTGTGAAACCTTCCTTGGAATCCACAAAGTGGGATTCACAGCAGGACAAACTGATGCAACACAACAGCTTTTGAGTTACACACAAAGGGAAGACCAGCCTCAGCTTCGTTCTTAAATGAATACAAAGGCAACGGCGTACTCAGAGCACTGTCCTGAGCTCATCTCTCATTTATGCCAATAGATTTCTTTTTAAATAATAAAAGGAAGAATGGCAGTTCAATCCCGCTGTGTAACTATGTGAGGTATGGATGAGAGAATTGCTTTAGAAAACCCCACACAACTGTTTACTTGCTTCTTTTTTATAGAAGAAGAGGGCTAGCAAACAGCAGTGACAAAAGCTCTAGCCTCTGGGTTTTCCAGTTCAGAATTTGAAAAAAGTTACCTTTTTTTACAAATTTTAAATCCTAGTACGATAAGTAAAGTACCAAGGCAATTAACAACCCTGTCCAGAAACACAGCTCAAACAAACAACCGCTAAACATCGGTCTCCCTCTGGCAACCCTCGCTTTCTTCTATCAACACTCGTCCAGCATTTCCTTAACACTTCAGGCTACTTCAACCAAAGTCACTGCGCAGCAAAACAACTCTTGTGAGCGGCACAGGAATCGCGTTCCTGGGACTTTAGATTATTTCTAGGATACTGTTCCTCGATCTGTCCAGTCTGTTCAGTCCGTCGCGCTACCCCCCCGCTGCCGCTCCCTGGCGGACAGAACCCCCTGAGCTTCAGACCCAG